GGGTTTATGCAGGTTTGTTTCATTATCATTTCTAAGAATGTTAGCACTTTGTCCGAGTTACTCCCAGAGACAACAAATAGTTTTCATGAGGACAAGGCGACCTCACTTGCAGTGGCCAATTTTGGTTTTCTTTTGTTTCTTGTTTCTCATTCCTGATACCACTTCACATTTTAATGGGCAGAGTGGCAGTGGTGAAGGGGTTTTCATATTGAGAGTTGTGATTAAATTGGTTTCCACGTTCTTGTCTGTCATGCCTTTTTACCTTTTAGTGGGCAGAGTAGTGTGGGTAACGGAGACTTTTTGTCGAGCATTTGTTTAGAATAGGTTTGCATATTCTTGTTCGTTATACCAATTTGCTATTTTATAGGCTGACAAGCTGTAGTTGTGGGGTTTGTTGAGAATTGTGATTGAATTAGCTTGCACATTCTTTCGTGCCTTGCCATTTTACCATTTAGTGGGAAGAGTGGAGTGGTCATGGGGTCCTATTGTTGAAAACTATTGATTTGGCTTGCATGTTGTTACAATAAAGTAGCAATTTGACTTGTAATAATTTTTTTTTTCTTTTTTCGCCTTATAGATATTCTCCGAGAGGAGGGGCCAGTGGAGAGCTGCAACACAATCTCAAGAGTTTTTTAGGACTCTTCAACGCTATTACAGCAATGCATACATGGATTCTGAGAAGCAAGATGCAATCAATGTGTATGTGTGAAGTCATTTTGTCCTTTAATTTCTATGGTGCCTCCTTGTATTGTTTTCAAAGCTTGGATTTATTTACGACATGTCTCTCATCTAGTTTGTTCTCTTTTTCCTTTCCTCTCTGTCTCTTTTGTTTTTAAAATATGGAAATCAAAGAGAAGAAAAAAAACATATTAGAAGGAAAAAATAAGTGGGAGGCTTGAAATGCATATGCGCAGATGTTAATTCAATTTGCAAGTGAGAATTTCCAAGTACAAAACAGCTATGAAGATATATTTCTGAGGGTTTTATTTGGAAGCAACTGCAGCCAGTAGGATGATATGATAGGTCTATTTTTTAAATACTAAAACTACTTCCTACTGTTCAGGTCTATTCTTTATCCTTACATCATTAAAAACTACCAATACCCCACACACACACACACACACAGCTATGCAAGAGCAAAATAGGGATTAAACGATTTTGATACAAGAGCTTTTCACTCTCTACTTGTTTGCCAAGCCACAAAATAGTCTTTTCCAAGTAAGTGTACGGACGGACAACTTCTTCAGCATCGTGCTTCAATCAAAGGCACTCAAGGATGGCGGTAGTTTGTCAATGCCATTAAAGCTTTTCCCCTCCTTGTTCCTGGTAACACGTCTGCAATTAATCAAATCATGAGAAATTGCTCCTATTTTTGCCATCGTCATCTGTAAATTGCAAGACCAACAATTTTGTTGATGTCTGTTCTCAAACCTTCAAAAATCCATCTCTCAAGTCTCAACTTCCCTATAGATCTCTGCTCAGAAGAATTTTCAAATGATCTTGGACGAACATGTAGTCTAACTATTTACAATGACGGAGAAAGTGGCTGTCAAAAATCCATCTCTCAGAATCTCCCATTTCGTTCTCTGATATCTTTTGCACTCTGCCTGGATCTTAATGGGTGGCTCTTGAGTCATTGTAGTGTCAAACATTAGCAGCTAATAATTTTGTGATGTAATTTTTTTCCTTTGGTTTGGGGGTAAAGTTGTCTGTACACAAACCATAAGATGACTCGTCTGTTTTGTTGATACAGATTCCTGGGACACTTTCAGCCGCAACAGGGTAAGCCTGCTCTGTGGGAGTTAGATTCAGATCAGCACTATGATGCTGGGAAACAAGGAGATGAAGATGGAAGGTAATCATACTATCTTGGCTGCATCTGGTGAGGTAGTTAACAGTGACTTATATTATGGACTTGCTCAAGACATCATGATGACATGAAGCATATATATAAAAATTGCTTGTCAATGCAACTTGCACAGTAACATTAAAATTTGGTATTTAAGGTTATTTTTCAAGAGATCCTTGTCAGATGGGAGCATTCTTCGTGGCAGTTCTACATCTATGTCAACTCCAGCTTCCAAGCAGGAAAATTTCTCTAGACCAATTTTGCCTGACGGATCAGAAGGAAGCAAGGCTCATTCTGAGTCTTCTCCTGAAATAACTTCTGAGAGTGACATAGCCTTTTCAAGGTCTGCCTCTATTATTGCATACGCAAATTTGTAGTTCTTGTTGAAGCATACTTGATGAGATAAAAATATCCATTTTATTTTCTGTCATTTTTACTCTAGTTATTATATTGTACAGAATTTGATGTCATCTTGTAGCAGACCTTTCTGGATGAGAACACTAGGCAAGTAACTATAGTAATAGTCATTCTGAAAATATTTTTAGGAGGGTGTGGAAACCTGGTTTACGATAAAAAGTCCTCTTTTTAATATCCTCTGCTGTGATTATGTGTTCAATTGCCCAATAACAAAATATGTGATTAGTGATCAAAATGGTTAGTCACCTTGTATACCATGCTAATACAAGTTAGAAACTTAACAGGGCCCACTTGCATGGTGACACATACTGCTGCTTCATTTTGTCCATCTAATCAGTTTGTGATTTGTTCTGCTATTGCGTGTATCTGTGTAGGTATACTCCTTCAATGCCTCAGAGGCAGTTTTTTGGAGGCATGCAAAAAGAGCGCTGCCTTGAAAGTGAGCATATTTACTATTCTGAGCATGGGGATTCCTTGAGTTGCTCCAACTTTGTTGACCTGGATTGGCTATCTTCTTCAGGAAATTCGTGCGAGGAAGATCTGTATGAGAGGTGAGTAATATAATTGAAAATGATAGCTATTCATGGGCATCTGTGTTTTGCAATTATGAGGTGCTTGGCTTGAACCGCACCTCATGTATTCCTAAGTGTCCCCATGTTATATATAAAGACCTACATGTATGACTGCAGATCTTCGATTACCAACTCCCCAGTAGCTGGGCGTTCGTCAGAAAATGTCAATGGAATGATGGGAGAAGCAACTCCATCCTCCAGTGAATATGGTTCCAACATGAAGGTACCACTCCTATCTAGTGCAATATTTGTACGGACAGCTCCTAAATTTTTCCGAGATAGTTATTGTGCCAGTTACACAGCAGATCTTCCTAGTCTTCATGAGTCTGCGTTCACTCCGCATTATTTAAATTCTTATGGCTTGGGTTTTGGATTATTTGTTCCAGTGAGTTTTTTTTTTTTTTGGGGGGGGGGGGGGTTCTTTGATCACTATTTTTGAGATGTGCCTAAGGTTTATGCTTATATCATGCACGAAGCACGTACATATTCCCCAACAGTCGAAGTCTTTCTTGATGACTTGGTCTTTCTATGAAAAGCTAACTTCGCTTAATGTTCTCAGGGAAGGGAGCACGCTCGAGAGTTATCCTATGGTAATTCACGGTCCAATGGTGCTGAGGAATTTCCAGATAGTTTTGTACAGTGGGTGACTTATGGACAGACCCTTTGCCATTGAATTTTTTGGCACGATGATCATTTGCACTAATATATAATCTACACCTAGTTGACTTGGGTTTGATCAGAAGAGGCTACTAAGTAGAAAATAGAGACACTTTATGGTGAGGGAGCGGTTATCGCCTAAGCAAGGAAAGAAAAACAGAGGCATTCGTGGGCTTCTCTGTGACTGTAAGATGCTGGTCCAAGAAGAAATCCTCCAGGCTCATAGTCCATTGACTTGCCGCATTAACTCTATTTGTGAAAATCTCAATTTAAATATGAAAACATGGTAGAGCAGAGTAAATAGCAAGGGGTTGTAAAAATTCTCTCCTTTTTTTCTTTGCTGGAGGTCATTGTTTGCACTTTTGTAAATATAAATCATGCCCGTTGGAGCTCTTACTTTTTAGATTTGCAGATGATTCTTTTAAATAATATTACTTTTTGTAGCTGCTCTTTGGGTTTGACCTATTGCAGTGATCGTTGAGCTCTTTCTAGCTTAATAGTTGGGGTGATCAATTCCTCTAAGCTCTCTGTGTGGCTATATGAAGTAATGAAGGACAATTTAATTTGCTTAAATGGATTTTTAAAAAATGTTGCTGAGGTGTGATATGTCGGACCTTACCGTCAAACATTGAGAATGTACCTATGTCCGGGGGTTTTTCTTCAGTGGATGATGGAATCGCATCGTGCTAACAAGGGAAAGATGAGGAAAAATATCATTTTTGTCTTCTAATTATTTATTTTTGTTTTGGAAAATGAAGAAGCTTTTTACTTAGAAAAGAAATAATTTATCTTGAAAGTACCATATAAATAGAAAAGCATCAAAGGCTAATTTTCTTATTCTTTGCATTTCTTTTATTGTGTTAAAACATATAAATGGAGACGTATCAACTAACAATTGTATTATATCGTTCGTCTTTATAAGAACGAAATACCTATTTTTAACCAAGAAAAGTTGACCAAGTTGATATATTTTCATGAAGGGCATAACTGAAATATTGTAATAAATGTTTTAGACAGAGGCTAGTTACCTTTTTTACACTCCCATAGCTTAAGATGGCTAGGACTATTTATAAAATGATATTTGACCACATTGCTTATAATTGCCTTCGAAGCATATGCACTATTTCATGACATCCTATGCAAATTTCTCGATCTCCTCACAGCATTACCATAACTCGGATTGAGTGCATCCACAAACAAGATTTGCCACTAGGGAAACTACTAACTTAGACATGACCACCGTTGAACGAACCATTCTTAAGTACAATAATCCATTAGTACAGCAGCTTAAATTAATTCTCGATCACTGACAAAAAGCTGTCCTCTATAATCAAACTGAAGCATCTGAAAGGAAAAGCGACAGGAAGAAGTAGCCTCAGATAATCTCATTCAAAAATCTTCATCCGGAAAGTAAATCAGGAGGCATCCAGAGAGAGTAGCAGGCACAAGAGAAGGCAAAAGGAACCCAAAACCCCCGAAAACTGATCAATAGAGTTTAATGTGTCACTGGGCGGATCCAGAGATATGTCAGCCCAGAATAGGGAAAATACGCGTAATTTGCTCCAATGGCACGCTGTCTGCAGCATTTTTCTTCGATGCTGGGTCATTGAATTCATTTCTTGGTAGGACAATGAGTTGACCTTTGCCATGGCCTTTCTCAATGACCCAACCACTGTTAGCTACTTGGTGTTCAAGGAATTTGTCCAAGGCCAAGCCTTCTATGTTGATGGCCTGCGAGAGTTATTGACACAATTAATTATTTTATACCTGAGACTAATGAGAAAATCATGGCATCTTTCATGCTCAAATAAGGAATCTAAGTCAGGAAAACACAAAATTTAGACACAACCCTGCGGCCTCCCCCCACTATTACATTCGGTTTTGATCATGTGCTTTTGCTAACAAGGAGAAAAATGAATATGCACCACATTCAATACAAGTGACTCAAAAGCAAAAATCAACTAAGCCAGGTGACAGCAACTAGTAGCAAGGAAAAAGCAAATTCCAATAATTAATAAATTAAAGGCTCAAATGGGCAGATTATAACCCACCTCAGCCAGCACAGATCTAGGAACCTTTTGGTAAGTTAACGAGAGCACATGAATTGCATAACCTTGAATTGCTTGCTCAAAACCTGCAATCGATAGCTTCTCAGACTGGTGCATAAGCATATGTATAAATGAAAAAGCAGAAGCTAGAAGGCTCTATCAGTTTCAAGTGTCAACACCAAAAAACCAAATTATCTTTTCATCCGTCACAGTGTCTCATCACCTGGCACAGCTTCAACTATATGACGATTCTTTGCTGCTTCATCCCAAAACTGGCGAAATCTTCCTGTCTGGTGAATGAAGAAATAGATTAATACTTAAGTTTTGGGTAGACGACTGGATAATGAGACCCAATGCATACCTCCAAATAGTGTGATAAAACAATCAATGTCTTGAATTGCTCCTCCATTTGCTAAGAATCATAATAAACAAACATTAGAACAAACTATTCCGTGACCCTGACAAGAACAAAGAAAAGAATGATTTGAAAGAAAAATACCACACGTTCTGGAATCAAAAAGAGACAAAGGCTGAAGTCCGGAGCTGGCATTGCCATGAGGGCCTGCTCAATAGAAGAAAGTAAAACATCAGCCCTGTATTCAATCCACTGATCATACGTGCTCCTTTTCATAAAAAGCAAAATACAGCCATAAATTGCTTAATCAGACCTTGACCAATATGCGGGCTACAATCTGAGAACTCATTCTCTCTGGTTCAAACTGTAATGATAGAAAAACTTATTAGTAACCTACTCAGCATTCTGTCAGTGTGAGCAAACAGTGGTCTTACAGCCAAAACTGAAAGAGAAAACAAGAAGGTAGAATAGCTACAATAATTGCTAATTACAAAGGAAAAGAAAGTTTGATGATAAAGAATGAGACCTCCTCCTAGGGAAACAGAAGTGCCTGCCTATTCCTTTCATTAGGATGCATGCAAAATACCTGATAGAGGCGAAGAAGGCATAGATTTGCATCCAAGCTGTACGTTTGTGATGAAACCTGGTTTAGAAAATAAACAGAATGTAAAAGAAAATTTGTTTAGTCGGCATACAGACGTACAGCTAGCAAGATACACGTTCAAAATAGTCCTACAAACTACCGGTTAGAGTGTAAACTGGTGGGAAGGGAAAATGGAGGTAACTGTTTAGACGTATTACAATTTGTTCATCGTACAGATGAGGTGAAAATTATGTCCTAAACTTAAGGGAAAATGTCAAATCAACGGTCCAAAAGAATACGTACACATCACACATTTTAAGTTGATGGCTGTTATAGAAATATATGAAATTGTATATGTCTTCCATGCATTTGCCTAGCGCAGCAGAGCTATTGCAGTATAAGAGATCTTACCATGTATATGTCTATAGAGAGAGAGGGAAATGAAAACAAAAGTACATGTACATGTCTATAGAGAGAGAGGGAAATGAAAACAAAAATAAAGTGATCCCTTCCATTTTATTTTCACTATAAACAATCAAGAGAAATTAAAGAAAAAAAAAATTGAGCCGTAGCATAATGACAACTGTAAAATATTACAAAATTTCATACTCCTCCATTTTGTACCTTATTCTCAAATTACCTGCCAATCACATTCTCAATAGTATGGGGGACTGAGAAGAACGACATCATCAAAGAATAGTTGGAAATACATGCTTAGTTAAAAATAATGGGAAAAAATTAAAAGGTGTTTCTCCCCACTAATGCCGTGAATGAAAATCATGGATAATGCTGCCGTTGTGCATGCCAAGACCACACTATTTTCTGAACTGACAAACTACTTAAAACTTTCATATGCTTCCAAGCCCCTAGATTCATTTTGCTGCTATGACTGGATTGCTTGTTTCGTAAATACACGACATCTCCCCGTTCTCCTATGGAAATAGGAAGAATACCATATAAAACAAGGAGGGGAAGACGCATAACATCTACGTACGTGATCAAGAGTAATGGATTTCAACACATGAATTCAACAATCACGCGGACAAAACAGTCATGAGATACACAGGAATACCCATAAAAGTATATATAGAAATTTCAATCTCTATTAATCAAGACCCAGTTAAAGAGGACAAACGTAAGAATAACAGAAATCAAAAACTAAAAATTTGTCGAGTACCTGCTCGTTGACATGGTTTTCGAGATCGGGAAGGATGTCAGGATTATAGCGATTAACGGCGACAAGCTGCTCCGCGTATCCCACCTGTTGCTGTTGCTGCTTCGGCACCTCTCTTTCTCTCCCCATTTCTCTTTCCCCCTGTGGCCCTGTCGCTCTCTTTTTCGGTGTCTCCTTTGTTTCGCTGCTATCAGCACCACCAGTGAACAATTGTGAGGGAAGCCCTAGCTGGTAACGAGATTACGCTTCCAAGCTCGGAATATTATTATTATTTATTTAGTGAAAATATACTTTTAATCCTTTGATTTAATTTTATGCTAAATTTTAACATTGATTTAGAGTTTTTTTCAATAATAATAAATTATTTTTATATAAAAATTTGTTGTTGGAGAAGATAAAAATTTTACGATTGAAGTCAAATAATAAATAAAAAGGTGCATAATTATGTTGAGTAAAAAAAAAATTACGAGAAAATAGCAAAATTTTAAACCTATAAGAAGTGTATTTTTTCTATAAAATTTCAGGCTTTATTGTATTATAATGACTCAAATGTTTTTTTTTTTTTTTGGGTTTGCCATCAACTCGAATGAATTGAATAGTGCGCCTCTTTAAGCCTTTAATTAATAGGTAGACTACTGCTTTTGGTGGGGGAAAAAACAGAGATAGACTACTACTAAGTATTAGTATTATGTTAACATATTAATATTGATTAATATGGATGAAAACCGAAGGCAAAAAAAAACTCATGAAGCCCCTATTCCTATTTTTTTCTTTTTAACTGAAATTGGTCCTCTGAACTCTTTTTTTCCCCCCCCCAGTTTACCGGAGCTTTGCCTTGACTATGTCCGGATCCGACCCGCGTCGCACACCTGGGTATGGTGGGTGAATCTCCCAGCGGGAGTTTTCTGCATTCATAAGGAATCGAACTCAAGAGTTCGCTTAAGTAGAACCGAGCCGCTTACCACTCGAACCAACCCTTGTTAGTCTTTGAACTCTTAAGGGAACCCAAACTAGGCAATGCAGTATATCCTATTTCTTCTGCTCCAAATGGCCAACCAAAATGGGCCAAGCCCAAATAATCTGTTGGGCCCTTTTCCTTCAAAAGTCCTACTCACTATTTAAACAAAACAGGTTTTTAAGCTGACCAAAAAAGATCAGACCAAGTTTTCGTCCTGAGGGTTTCACATGGGGAGGGGAATGATTTTGTATTTTCTTGTTTACACGGTAAATTAAACATATACTACCTCTGATCCTTAATATAAGAGCTAATTAATTAATTTAAGTAAATTAAAAATTTTATTAAATTAGTTATTTATAATAAATAGATGTTATCTTTCCTCGAATACATTTGCTAATCATGTGTATTAGTTAAAACTACCATTTGATGGATCTTTAATATATGAAACTACTTTAAGGACTATTTTAAAAAAATAAATAAATATGATAAACAAAATAAATTTGGGTCCTATATTTAGAACTAACTTGAAAGTCCAACTAGTTATTGTATTAAGGATAAAGGTAGCTTATCTTTGCCTTTACTATTCAGTAATATTTTTTTATTACTCATTTTAATATAAAATAATGATACTCCTCCTCCGTCTCTAATGTAAGGCTGATTGATGAATTAATGTTGATCATATGTGTAAAATGTATTTCACA